ACAACATCTTTGTTGGTATGTGGTGCTGAGGATCGAACCCGGGCCGCACGCATGCCAGGCGAGCGCGCTACCGCTTGAGCCACATCCCCAGGCCCTAAAAAATAAATATTAAAAAAAAATTATCTCTCTCTCTCTCTCTCTCTTTAAAAAAAAATAAATAAAATAAAATTAATTCAAAATCATTGGAATTAGAAATTAATAGCTTACCTAAAATACATAAAAGATTTTCCTACTACACTATTCAGGATACTACATTTATCACAGATTAACAGATTACAGAATATTAATTTATGATAGCCCAGACTGAATACAAGAGTGGCAGAAATCACAACCTCAATACATGAGACATGGAGAAATTGGTGTCTACTTGAATTTTATACAGTATTCCTGTCTATGTCATGGATGATAATCAAATTATAAAACAAAATGGGAAAGTTAAAACTTGAATTCTTTGAGAAGTCAGTAACAAATATATTTTGGATGAAAAAATAATTACATAAAAAGATAAGCCAGCAAGGCATGGTGGTGCACACCTATAACCCCAGTGACTCAGGAGGCTGAGGCAGGAGAATAACAAGGTCAAGACCAGCCTTAGCAACTTAGCAAGGTCCTAAGCAACTTAGCAAGCCCTTGAATCAAAATAAAAAGGGCTAGGGATGTGGCTCAGTGGTAAAGTACCCCTGTGTTCAATCCCTGGTACAAAAAAAAAAAAAGGGATGGAGTTGTAGCTCAGCAAGCGAGTTCAATCTTAGCACCACATAAAAACAAATAAAGGCATCGAGTCAATCTACAACTAAAAAGAAAAAAAATTAAAAAGAGAAGAGAGATAAGCCACTAAAAATGGATTGGGAATTTTAGTATATGAATATTAAGGGAAGTAAAAGGCAAGGAAGGAACACATGAACAAAGAAGGATCAAAATCATGAAACTTAGGAAGAAGAAACCACATATTAAAACAAAAAGCAGATTTGGTTGAGGAAGTAGCTTGACATAGTGGCCACTGGAACTGATGAGGAAATAATTTGCCCCCCTCCTGATACTAGCATGTGAGAAACATTGAGGCAAGTGAAGGACACATAATACCTTTTTCTGTGATTCCTTTAATAATCACTTATGGAAAGTTCCAAGGAGACAATGCTAAAATAATTGCTGAGTGAAAAATCACACTTGCTAAAAGATAGGAAAAATAGCCAAAGGATCAGGATAGTAGATACCTTTGGGGCAAGACAGGAAAGGATCAGTCAGAGGACCACATGGAGACAATCCAAGTTATAAATCTTCTTTCCCCCTTTTTCCTCAAGTTATTAATCATAACGAGGATTTCCCAGTTTATAATGTATTATTAAATCTTACCAAATTTTTTATTCTTTTTCTTCTTCTTTTGTACTGGGGATTGAACCCAGGGGTTCTTTACTACTGAGCTCTATCCCTAGCTCTTTTTATTTTGAGACTAGGTTTCCTGAAGTTGCTTAGTCTGGACTTGAACTTATGATCCTTTTACCTTACCCTGTCCAGCATGCCTGGCTATTCACTGTTTTTAAATGTACTTCATGATGATTTATTTAAACAAAAAATTAAATTTGGGCCAGGTATTGTGGCACACACCTGTAATCTCTAGTGATTCGAAAGACTGAGACAAGAGGATCATAAGTTCAAAGCCACCCTCAGCAACTTAGTGAGACCCTGTCTTAAAAAAAAAAAAAAAAAAAAAGCTGGGGATGGAACTCAGTGGTAAAGCACCCTCGGTTAAATCCTAGAACCCTCCCCCCTACACACAAAAATTAAATTTAGGAAAGACATTTATTTATGTTTTTCTTCCTTGCAACACGGCAACATGAGTCAAGATTTATACACTGGGCAGCAACAGAGAAGCACAGGTCTAACGCAACAAAATCCCTTCAAAGCCAGGAAGCAGAGGTCCAGTATATGTTGGCCATCAGGTAGGAGACCAGGTTAGCAAATCAAAGCAAGAAAAGACAGATACAGAAAGTGGTTATAGCTTTGGTCAGTTTTAGAGGTGTGGTTCTGATGTTGACACTGATGAGGAGAAAGAATACAAAACCAAAGGACAGCCAAAGTCTCACTATTCATATAATTGAGGGCATAGGGAGAGTAGGATAAGCATCTCAAACAAGTAGCAAGTGCCTTAAGAGAGGGAAGAAATGAGTCCGGCCTGGGAGTTTTATACGTTATTAACACAGAAGTTTTGATGAGAATTCACTCCAGTTACAAGGACATAGGTATGGGTGGTTTCGGGCTCCTGGCAATGCAAAGTAGAGCAGTGCCAGGCTTTTGATCACCTTATCTTGATGTGGTGCACAAAGGGAAGAAGGAGTGTTAAAGGTTAAATAGTGAATTTGAATTGAATATCTAAAAATGGAGTCACATAGAAAGACACGGTGGCACATACCTATGATACCAGCAGCTTGGGAGGCTGTGGCAGGAGGATCAGAAGTTCCAGGATAGCCCTCGGAACTTAGTGAGAGACCCATCTTAAAATAAAAATAATGAGCTGGGCATGGTGGTGCAAATCCCGTAATCCCAGTGGCTCGGGAGGCTGAGGCAGGAGAATCACAAGTTCAAAGCTAGCCCCAACAACTTAGCAAGGCCCTAAGCAACTCAGTGAGACCCTGTCTCTAAATACAAAAAAGGGCTGGGGATGTGCCTCAGTGTTTAAGTGCCCCCGGGTTCAATCCTCAGTACCAAAAAAAAAAAAAAAATTCTTATTTTCAGGGAAATGGATGAAACCTGAGGACATTATGTTAAGTGAAACAGGTCAAACTCAAAAGGTGTGATAGCTAGAGAGGAAAAAAGAAAAGATCAGTGGGATCTCATGAAAAGTGAAGGGAGATCAGTAGAATACAGAAAAGGGACTAGGGGAAGGAGGAAGGGAGAAAAAGGGGAAGTACTGGGGAATGATAGTGACCCAATTATATGGTCATATTGTAGGCACGTACGAAACAAATCCCACCACTATGTATGACGACAAAGCACCATTAAAAAATTTGGAGCCAGGTGCAGAAGCACACACCTGTAATCCCAGTGACGTGGGAGGCTGGGGCAGAAGGATCATAAGTTGGACACCAGCCTTAATAACTTAGCAAGGACCTAAGCAATTTAGTAAGATCTTGTCTCAAAATAAAAAAATAAAAAGAGCTGGAATGTGGCTCAGTAGTAAAATACACATGGGTTCAATTCCCAGAACCAAAACAAAATACCCCCCAAAAGCTGGTTCTTTGGAAAAATCATCAACATTTATAAGTCTTAATTAGCCTTAGTTAGACACACAAATTACTAACCTTGGTAACAAAAGTGGTACATTCCACCTAATTCCTTGGATATTAAGTGAACCACTAACAAATATTCTAAACAATTATATGTCCATAAACATAATAAAATGAATCAACTCCTGGATAGAAATAATCTACACAACTCACAGAAGTGATAAACAATATACATAAGAGCCTATACAGCCAGGCACAGTGGCACACACCAGTAATCCCAGTGATAAGGAGTCTGAGGCATCAGGATCTCAACTTCAAGGCCAGCCTTAGTGATTTAGCAAGACAATGTCTCAAAATAAAAATAAATAAATAAAAAGAGCTGGAAATGCAGCTCAGTTGTAGAATGTCCTGGGTTGCATCCCCAGTATAGCAAATGATAGAGTATATTACAGAAACTGAAAGAGTATAAAACATAATCATACAAAAAAGACCAGGTCCACATGTTCTCACTGGTTTATTCCACCTAACATGTAATCAAAATATGACACCAATCATCTACAAACTTTTCCAGGAAATAGAAGAGGTAGTAACACTGCTTCATGCTCTGAGGCCCATACTGCCACAATATCAAAATTAGAGACATTACAATAAACAAAAACCACAGGAAAATATTTCTTTTTTAAAATATTTATTGTTTAGTTTTCGGTGGACACAACATTTTTATTTGTATGTGGTGCCTGAGGATCGAACCCAGCGCTGCGCGCATGCCAGGTGAGCGCGCTACCGCTTGAGCCACATCCCCAGCCCAAACCACAGGAAAATATTTCTAACAAACATAGAAAAGAGTAAATCCCATTAAGGCATAAACAGAAATATGTACCACAATCAACTGTGAATTCTAAGTATGGAAACCTAATAGAAGATTTATAAATAAATTCATGTAATCCATCACATTTACAAGCTAAATATCAAAACTCCTAAAATCACATTGACACATAGGAAACACCAGGCAAGAAAAGAAAGCTCTGAGATTGAAAATAAAACTGTCTTTGTTCATAGGTGAAATTGTCTATGTAGGAAAAAAAAAAAAAACAAAAAAATCAAAATCAAGCACCTCTGGAATTAATAAGGGATTGTAGCAAGTTTCCATGATAGTTGCTAAATATAAAAATATACATTTTATTTCATATCAACTATATAACTGGATCAGAAATTTAAAAAAAAATCACAAAACTGTTTATACAGCACAAAGCGAGAAAAGAGGTGGGTAGAAGACCACCTAGAAAAAAATCTCAAAAAGATACAATCCCATAGTGATGCTCTTTAATACCAAAATATAAATAAATTAGAGCATTGCAAATGTTAGCAAACCTTTCAATAAACACAAAAAACATGAAAGGTCAGAAGATCAAAAATTTATACAGACACAATTTCCTATTCAATTTCAATTTGTCCATAATTTACAAAAAGGTTTCCCACTCTGTTTAAAAAAAAAAAAAAGATATATTAGCATTAGAGGACAAAATAAACATTGTTGAAAACATCAAAAAATAAACCTGAAAGGGCTGGGGTTGTGGCTCAGCGGTAGAGAGCTTGCCTAGCATGTGAGGCCCTGGGTTCGATCCTCAGTACCTCATTAAAAAAAATAATAATAAAATAAAGGTATTGTGTCCAACTACAACTAAAAAATAAATATTAATAAATAAATAAATAAATAAAATAAACCTGAAATAACCAAGTTCCAGAAGCAGTGAGAACCAAGGGAACTATCATCACACCAGCAATAGATGAATGAAAAGAAACAACAACAAAAGAGAAATCTCATAGTGCTGGGCATGGTGTCACAAGCCTGCAATTCCAGTAGCTTGGGAGGCTGAGACAGGAGGATGTCCCAAAGCCAGTCTCTAAACAAAATAAAAAAATAGGGATGGGGTGTGACCCAGTGGTCAAGTGTCCCTGAGTTAAATCCCTGGTAATCCCCTCCCCCTAAAAAAAAAAAAATCTCATAATGATAAATAGATGGTAACCAATAAGGAAGGTTCAAAAAATACATCCTCTAGTCACCTAAGGATGCCAAGCTACATGAGATCAGGGAAACACATTGGAAGTGATTACGGTCTGTTTATTCTCCTGCATAGTGATTCCATGTACCTTTATAAACTTAATTCCTATAAACAAGTAATTCATGTCAATAATTCTTTCTCACATCTCATTAAATCCATCCATTCAGGTCAAGAAAGTTGGCATCTTACGTTCAATAAAATTCTTAAATGTGTAAATCAACTGCCCCCCCCCTTTTTTAGTACTGGGGACTGAATCCACTGGTACACTACCACTCAGCTCCATTCTCAATCCTTTCTGGATTTTACTTTGAGACTGGCCTGAAACCATGCATGATTCTCTGGCTTCAACAACCTGAGTTGCAGGGATTGCAGGTATACACCAACATACCACTGCTATTTTGTAAAAACAGGATTCTACACAGGAAACAAAAGGGAAGCAGCTCAGGGCAGCAGTCTGCTTCACCCACAGTTCATAAGGGGATCTAAACTCAGAAGGCAAACACATTCTTAAGGCTACAGAATTCTTCACTGTGCAGATGAAGCCCAGCCACCCACTGTCAGAGAGTGAGTGAGGGAAACATGAGCATTTAGGAAATTGAATTCTGGAACCTCCATATACCCTGCTTTTCACTTTTCCAAGTCATGGAAAGGCTCCCTCACGGGCTGGGGATATGGCTCAAGTGGTAGCGCGCTCGCCTGGCATGCATGCGGCCCGGGTTCAATCCTCAGCACCACATACCAACAAAGATGTTGTGTCTGCCGAGAACTAAAAAATAAATATTAAAAAATTCTCTAAAAAAAAAAAAAGAAAAAAGAAAGGCTCCCTCATGCACAGGTTCAATTCTAGTGAGCATTCACTCAGTCATTTGAAGGTTCTGATCTGTGCTCTTTTCTAACATCATTTCTGACACCAAATCTGTGTTTACTGAATGCTAACCAATTCAATACCAACTGGGCATCAAACAATTAAATTCTGATACCACCAAGACTTAATATGGTCCCTACAAATTCAGGGCTCTGTCCCAGTATACTGACCCCAGTGCAGATGTGAACACAAAGCAAGTGTTTGCTTGTGTGGTCAATAGTCCCCATTTTGAAGCTAGAAGGGTGGTACCGAGTCAACTCCTGAGCACAAATTCAGGTACTGTCTAAAAGAGGATGAAGATAAGCAACCAGAGATACTCCTATTGTTCAGGAAATTCCAGGGTTTTAGGTTTTCTGTGCCACAATCAGGGACAAAGACCTGTTTTTAAAAACTCTTCTATACATCAAAATGAAATATGAAATTCTCCAGTAGGCAGAACCCAAAGTTTTCTTTCTCTGACTGGTTCTCACTGACACAAATTACACTCTGACAAGAACAACTATGTAGATGCAAAAACAGCTGAAGAGATTGAATTTCATGTAACTGCTGAAATCCTGGAAATCAGTGGTGATTAAAGAAATCCCCTGTATAAATGCTTTGTACCCTGGGGAAGCAGCCTAGTGCAAACAACACTATACTCCTTCCACTTACCTGATGTCCCTTTACCTTACCTATGACAAAGCCAGACACAGTTTCCAAATTCTCACTTTTTGCCTCAAAAATTGCCAGCTCAAGTGATTAACAGAAACAAAACCGTTAGGCAAACTTTCCTTGGTGGTTTCTCCTTCCTTCTTGACTCACCCTCAACCTGAGCCAGTACAAAATCTCTTTATTGTCACCCTAAGAACAGGAGAAACGTTGTGGCTTCTAGGAACTTACGTTGCCATCTCCATCTTCCCCTTCAACCTAGTTTCTACTCCCATCTTCTTCTCCCAAGGAAAAAAGTCCCTTTTCTACTTATCCACTGAGATGCTCGGAACCTTACAGTTGGGGCTTCGCCCTACTGCAATGCTCCTTTCAAATGAAGTCAGGTCCTCCTTTAATCAGTGTTTCCTTTTTAAAAACAACGTCTGGAACCGTCTATAACAATGACATGGGGGAAACTCGCTTCCCAGCCAGTCCGCGGGACACCCTCGCCACCGAGCTTAGCAACGTAGGGAGTCCCAGGAGACGTGAGGGTTCCTGCTGGGTCCCCGACCCCCGCCGTCCCCGCACAGCTTGGGGAGACGGGCCTGCGCCCGCAGAGGGCTCAGGACCAGGTAAAGGTGCCGCGCAGGGCCGAGCGGACGCCGGTCCCCGCCCCGCGGGACAGAAGGGACCAGCGGACCGAGGGCCGAGCGCGGTGCCAGGCACCTACGGAGCGGAGCGGGTTTCGCTGGGCCCCCGTCAGAGCCAGGCCCTGTGCCCACGTCCGGGACGCCTGGGCCCCGCACACTCACCATCTCCCTGCTTCTGGGTGTCCTGCTGTCCACCTCACGGCTGCCGAAGTCAAAGGAGGTCACAAGGCCAAACAGGAAGAGCAACCTCGGCAGCCCACAGAGTCTCAAAGATGGCGGAGCCAGAACGGAAGGTCCCGCGGTTCGGAGCGGACCCGCCTCCCGCCGGCGCTCCTGATTGGACCGCTCTGCAGCCCCGCCCCGCCCCCGGTGGGCTGTCAGTCAAGGACCCGCCCCGAGCGCGCCGCCTGAACCGAGCGGCGATCCCGTTCCCTCTCTGCCTGGAACGTCTGTGAGTTCCAACCAGAGCTCTCCCCAGGCCACACTTCTCCCAGGCCGCGACCAGCAGCAGCCCCAAGACGGTGCGCAGAAGCACAACTTGCTCCTGGCTTTCCACGGCGGCTCTGGCTGCTTCTTCAGTGGGCCCTTCTTGTTCCTCCTGGAAATGGGGCCACAGGTGTGCTCAGGGGATTCCAAACTCAGTGTCCCATGCAGACAACCCTGTTCTCAAGAAGCAGGGGTGCCTAGGACAGGCCAGGACAGGCCTCCCTGGAACAGAGACAGCTGACTTCATGGTCAAGGCCTTTTTACTCCTCCTTCTAACCTACCTATTTTCAGCCAAGAAAATAAAGGTGCCAATAAGAGATTAAATAGGTAGAGAAACTATAGAGTTCTGTGGCAGCAATACTTTATGTCCAGAGTCACAAAGAGAACATGAACTCAGGTTAAACATATCAAAGTTATTCAGGGATCAGAAAGAAGCTGTCAAATTCATAAACTTTCTCCAGGATAGTGCCTAAATTTGTCCTTCTCTAAGCCTGACCTTAAAAAGATTTTATTTACATAGAAATTACAGGTTGACTACAGTAACTCCATGCATGCCAAAATCAGAATGTTGTCCAGAAAACAGCTACAGAGAAAACAGACTTATAACCTCTAAATGTGTAATAATGGTTCACTTTATGCTTTGAATATAGGTCTTGCTGCTGTTACTGTAAATTATTTTCAAAACAGACAACTTTCTCTCTCTTCCTCTCTCTCTCCACATCCCTAATCTCAGGAGAAACAGGATTACCTTTCTTCCCTATCCTGGGCAGGGCCATCTGTCCTTAAGCATACATCAACCACAAAAACTAAGTAATTCAGGCTTCAGGGATGGTACCAGAAGATCTAAGAAATGACACTCCTATATTAACAAGTTAATTACACATCAACAGAGAATATCTAGAATGTAGCCATTACCTCTTTAAAAGCCCTTTATTCTCTCTGACAGTCAGAATCACAGCCTCTGGGATAGGAGCAAAGCAACATAGGGAGACCCTATCTCAAAATGGGGAAAAAAAAAAGAAAAACTAAAAAACTAGAGATGTAGTTCATTGGTAAAGTGCCTGTGGGGGCAATCTCCTAAACCAAATTAATTAATTAAGAAAATAAAGATGCAATACATTAGAATGACAACAGGGAACACAGTGTTGCCAGAGACAAAAACAACTGCCAAAAATCACATTTCACATACTTTTACACCAGTAAATATCATTCAAAATATATCAACATATTATTTACATAAAAGTAAGTGGCTCCCAGGGCTGGGGTTGTGGCTCAAGGATAGAGCCGAGGCTCTGGGTTCAAGTCTCAGCACCATGTAAAAATAAATAAATAAAATAAAGGTATTGTGTCCAACTACAAATAAATTTTTTTTTAAAGTAAGTGATTCCAATATCAACACAAATTATAAAGAAATACTCGGAGCCAGACATGATGGTATACGTCTATAATTCCAGTGACCTGGGAGGCTGAGGCAGGAGGACTATGAGTTCAAAGGGAGCCTCAGGATCTTAGCAAGGCCCTAAGCAACCTAGGGAGACCCTATTGCTAAATAAAAATAAAAGGGGCTGGGGATGTGGGTCAGTGGTTAAGCACCCCTGGGTTCAATCCCTGGTACCAAAAATAAAATTAAATTAAAAAGCTTGCTACCAAGGAAAAACCTAAATAAACCCTGTAGCTTTAGATTTTCTTACTTGACATAATTTGAAAGGTTGCATAGTGGGGTACTACATTATTTGTCTTCACTAGCTTTGTTGTAGATCACATCTGTCACGTAGGTTATGATGTCAATGATTGCTCAGGTTACTATTCAGGGATTGAGACTGCTTTTGCTGAAAATACTTCCTCTTCACTTCGGCTGAAAGCAATGAAAAGGCTTGAAACCTCTCTGTATGTTCTGTATGTCCTTTGCTGTCTTAATCTTTGGGTCAGATTTCTACTAGAAAGAAAAGGGAACCCTGTAATAGACTGTTGCTATCAATGGTCCCATCTTGCTTGATTCCAGTTCCCTTTCTCATTGGCCAGCTATGGGGCCTTCACCTGCATTCTGGTGATCTTGTTTATTTTTTAGAGCTGACTCCAGAAACTGGTTGTTGATCACAAAATTAACCCAAAAACAGACTGCCTGGCTCAGGTTCCTGAGATAGTGCTGATTTCGGCACATATTCCCCTAACTGATCTTCATATAAACATTCTCCATCTCCCCAAAGACCTTGAAAGAACAAATTGAGGCATTAGTCATCTTCCTTTCCCAGTTGGTAGCATCCTCAATAAAGTCTTTCATTCTCAACACTTGACTCTCACTGATCAGTTTTTCCAAGGGATGAGCTTCTGCACCTAATTTCAGAAATAAGCTCCCAAACATTTACTCTCCAGTTCCCTGTGCACACAATAACTATGGAGGATTCTAAAGGACTTTTGTTTGCTATGTACTATGTGAGGAATCAAAGCAGAAATATAAAAAAGTTATTTAGGCATCAATTTATTTATGCAGGAATTGAACCCAGGGGCTCTCAACCACTGAGCCACATCCCCAGACCAATTTTTAGATTTTATTTAGAGACAGGGTCTCATTGAGTTGTTTAGGGCCTTGTTAAGGTGCTGAGGCTGACTTTGAACCCACGATCCTCCTGTCTCAGCCTCCCAAACAGCTGAGATTCCAGGCATGTGCCACCAAGCCCAACAAGACCTCTTAAATATGCGAAACCACAAATGTCAAGTTAACTTTATAAAGATATAGGAAAAAGGACTAGGGTTATAGCTCAGTGGTAGATCATTTGCCTTGCATGCGTCAGCACCACATTAAATAAAGAAAGATATTATGTCCATCTACAATTTAAAAAATATTTAAAAAAAGATACAGGAAAAACAAAATTTAGGATTTGTGATAAACAAAGACTATCCTGGATAAATTAACAGGCAGATGGAAAGTTGGGAAAAGGTGTCTGCATTGTCCAAAAGTGACAAGGGAAGAATACTGAAAATCAAGATGTCAGGTCCGTGGCGGTGACTTAGGACAAAGCAGCCCTCAGGAAAGAAACATCTATCCAGCGCCAACAGAAATGCCTATCAATCAGAGGGATCTCCTGACTAACGCCTGTCAATCATCAGGACCCCCTGGCCAATCCTGGAGTTCAGCCAGTTCCCGGGACCAACTTCAGTGGGACAAGGGACTCTAAAAGTACCTTTCCTGTCCCAAGCCCTTCCCTTCCTGCCTAAGCTCCATAAAACCCCAGGGTTGAGCTCCCAGGCAGTTTCTCCTCAGACCCTTCACTCTGTCCGTCTGATCAAGTTCCGCCAGGGAGTGATATCTCAATGAAGCCTCCTTTGGCAGCCTTTTAAAATCTGCCTCCTTTGGTTGCTGCCCGCCTCGCCTGATCTTACACAAGAAACCAGTTATATCAAGACATAGGAACCTCAATATAAAAAAATGAGCACAGAATATGAGCAGATAATTGACAGAAGGGTTACCTGAGCAAAAGGAAGGATAGACAAAAGGAAGAAAAGGAGGGAGGGAGGCAGGAAAGAATGTAGGAAGGAAATAAAAAATGGCCATTGCATTTCACTGTTTATCAATGAATTTCTCCAAATTAGAAAACACCCAGTGAAGGTTTGCCACTACACACGACTAAACCAGTCAGGGTCATTCCAGGTGAACAGGGCTGGCATGAAATAATCAGAGACAGAGAAATACCTTTTCCTTTAGTTTCTGTGACAGCTCCTCTGACCCAGCTCCCACAAAGGAGGCAAGGCAGGCAAGAAAGAGAGGACACGCCTCGAACCTGGGTTTTATTGGCAGGAGGATGTTCCATGGAGTACTGTACCCCCCAAAAGGACAAAGGGGTAGGATTACAAAGGAACAGGTGAGTGTAACTCAACCCCAGTGGGTGACACCTACTCCTGGAGCCATGCCTTGTTATCTGAGCTGGGGTAATGACCAAGTTAGTGTGACCTGGCATGACCTTGCAGCCTTGCCCTCCTGAACACAATAATTGTTCGTGCCTCAGAGCATCGGGACTTAAAGGTGCATTCATTCAGGGCAACTCCAGATAAGGGTTGGGATAGGAGGAATAAGGAATTCTTGCACACTGCCAGTGGGAGGGTAGAGTGGTGGAAATTAAGAACAGAAATGCACATGTGCACTATATACCAGGAAATGTGCTTCTGGGTCTCTATGATGCCTTCTCACACCTGTTTGTAAGGCAGCATGGGAGTCGATGTTCCCAGAAGCATTTCTTTCAGTGAGGAAACTGTTACTGGGTAGAAGGCAGGAAAGACCCTGGTGATGCAGGAAAACAGACCACCCATAAGCCAACAGGGTAAGGGCCTCAGAGACTGGAAAGAGGGAATGAGGCCATTCCAGCCTAGAAGGAGACATCGGGCCTGGGAATGTTCTGTCACTGCCCCTAACAGCTTCAGCCACACAGCTCCTTAGTTATGCCTAACCCTACCCCTAGCAATGGCTAACCACTTAATCTTCTCTAAAATCCTTCCTCTTTTGCCAACAAACCCTCACCCCCACCCTTATGTTAATAAAGGCTTAAAAATTACTTTTCCTAGATTTGTTGAAATACTGAGCTGATTGGCCCCTTTCTGAATCCTATTCCCTACCAATCAAATATAGGGACAGATCAAACCCATGAAACACCCTGGACAACAGAGACCCTTGGCATCCCTCTCTTGGGACCCCTTCCTCTTCAGGACCTCTGTTTCT